CCATATCAGCAAATTATATTTTCATAAATAAATTCTACAACTGTTTTTACATCATTTGCTGGGGTTGCATTTGCTTCAGGCTATTTAGTTAAATAATCTGTAGCTACAATGTTAGTGATAATCCATTTGCGCAACTAAATGACTGCGCTAACTAACGTCATCAATGATCACCAGGAAAATTGTGATCATTGTTTTCACTGATTTCACTGCTATCATGGTTATCATTATGATATTCATTTTCATTATTATAACGTTTATCATTATTTTATTTATTATCTTTATTTTCATAGTTATATTTACTTTCACTATTATATTTATTATCTCTATCTTATAATTGTATTTTATATAAATATCCTGTATTGTCACCTTGACAAACTAACAAGTTTCAATCGTATAATTAATAAAGTATAATCTTAATAACATAAAAACTATATCTTAGTCAATATCTATTTCCTTAAAATATAAATCATCAATAAAGACAACCTGACCCTTCAACTTAAATAAATTTGTGTTTATTTCTTTCATAATTTACAACTTAAACTCCCTATTAGCAAATAAGCTTTGTTATCTTAATAATGTAGTGTTTAAGCTTAACAATGATTATATAATGATTTCCTTTGTTAGTTAATGGTAATGGTCCTACAAAATCTATTCCTATTTTCTCAAAAGGCTTTTCTACTGGTATTGGATGTAATAAAGTACTGTTTTTTAAGAGTTTTCCTCTTCTTTGATAAGAATCACAGGATTTAATGTAATTTGTAATGTTTTTGAATATTTGCGGTCAATAATAATTTTCTTTAATCTTTTCAAAAACTTTTTCTGTTCCTATATGTCTACCGGTAGGATAATTATGTGTTGCAAAAAGTATCATTTCTATTTCATTTGTTTTCAATACTTTAAAATAGCTTCTCAGATTTTTCTTATTTCTTTTATAAAGTTGATTTTCTATGATAACAAAATGTTTTGATTGTCTGATAATTTGTTCGGCTAATTTCTTATCATTTGGTAAATTTGATGTAATTAAATATTGTTTAAGTTGATTATATCAATTTTATTCCATTTTTAAACTTGAGCTATCAATCACAATGTTGACATTTTCGCTTTCATTCTGTTATTTTGTTGATGATAGGATAAAATTATTGAAGTATAGCGAATAATTGTGCATAAACATTTTCTTGTTAAATAAGTAAGGATTCAGTTCACCATAAGTTATTAGTTAAATAATTAGGGTTCATGTCAGGATAAATTTTGCCATGTTCGATTCCAATAATACAATTATGAAAAATGATTTCATAAGGTAAATTACATTTGTATGTCTTACAATATGTGTGAATGTAATAGTTTTTAATATTACAAAAGTTAGTACATTTAGAACCTCCTTTGGTAATTGGTTGATTTGCAATTACTTATTTAACTTTAATATTTTCTTTGTAAATTTCGATCATTTCATCTTTTAGACATTGGTATCCAATAATAATCAATGAGTGATTTTCAAATTGATTCATTAATTCTTACTCAAAGTAAGCTTCAGTATCATTTTCTTCTACACTATTTTCTGGTGAAGAGATATGCCATTGGATTTCCTTTTCTTCTGATTCATCAAAATTTTCATCAGTTTGTATAGAAATCATGTAAGTTTTCACAATTTTATCAGAATCTTCATTATTATTAGAGTCAATTCTGGATAAGACGTCAGCATTTGCGTTATTTTTTCCTGAATGGTATTGAACTTGAAATGTATATTGCTAAAGATTTAATAACTATCTAGCTCTTTTGATTCAATTTTTCACAGTTGAGTTTGTAACTATTTCAATGCTGCATTATTAGTTACTAAGATAAAAGATTTTAAGGAAGTGTAATAATGAAAGTATTCAACTGCCAGTTAATTGCTAGACATTCTAATTCTTGAGCACTATAGTTTTGTTCATGAATATTAAGGGTTCTACTTGCATAAGCGATCACTTTCTCTTTTCCTTAGTCGTTCTTTTATGCAAGTACAGCTCCTAGTCCAATTCCAAAGGTATCAGTGAAAAAATAAAACATTTTGTCAAAGTCAGGATATCCTAATATTGGAGCTTGCATCAGTTTTCCTTTCAAGATTACAAATGCATTTTGACATTTATTGGTCCAGTCATATTTAACTCCTTTCTTCATCAAGTTATTCAGAGGTTTAGCAATTTTTGAGAAATCCTTGATAAATTTTTGATAATATAATGCCAAACCAAGAAATCCTTTAATTTGTCTCATATTCTTTGGCATAGGAAATTCTTGAACTTTCTCTATTTTCTGAGAATCTAGTAAGATTCCATATTTATTAATTTTATACCCTAAGAATCATAATTCTCTTTTGAAAATTTCACATTTTTCTTTGTTTAACGTAAGGTTTTCTTTTCTCAACTTGTGAAAGAGTATTTGAAGGTATCCACAATATTCTTCAAAACTGTTCGAATAAATGATAATGTCATCAATGAAGACTGCTACAAATCGGTCAATATATTCTTCTAATACTTTATTCATTGTTTTCTGAAAGGTTGCTGTGATGTTACATAGACTAAAATGCATAACATTAAATTCATAGTGTCTGCCTTTAATCACGAATACAGTTTTTTCTCTATCCTTAGGATTCATTTCAATTTGCCAGAATCCATTAATTAGATTGAACGTTTAGAACCATTTTGCTCCATTTAGGTTTTCTAAAATTTCGTTAATTCTAGGCAAAGGGTAAGCATCTTTTCTTATAAGTTTGTTAAGTCCTTTATAATTGATACATAGTCTTTTCTTTCCATTTGCTTTCTTCACAAGAATTGCAGGTGATGTCTATAGACTATCAGATGCTTAAATAATTCCTTCACATAGCATCTTCTTAATTTCTCTATCAATAAATTCTTGTTCTTCCTTTGTCATTTGATAGTAATTTCTCCTAATTAAGTCAGCATTTCTTGTATCAATTTTGTGTCAAGCTACATTAGTTATTTCAACTTTAGTTGATTGTCCAGTTTCAGAGATATTAGTGATAAATCTATCTTTATTTTCTTCTATTAGAACGTCAATTTCTTTTTGTTGTTTTGGAGTTACAACTTCCTCTTTCACAGTTTCTGCTTACATAGTTTCTGCAAGACTATTAGGTAAGTTATTCCATACAATTCGATCCAATATTTCATTAATAAATGTTGTATGAGTTGGGATAGTCCTTCCTTATTTAGCTATCTCTTCATATTTCAGAAAACTGAGATGAATCTAAGGTCTATTTTTATCTTCTTCTGTTTGTTTTAATCTAGTTCCTTTAGAAATCTTTATAGTATAAACATTGCAATTAAATTCTGGATCATTAAAGAGATATTCTAAGTCTTCTTCCTTGACTTTTACTCCAGTTTCTTCTTCAGTTTCTCGTATTATTGCTTTCATTAGATTCTCATTCACTTCCACCTTTCCTTCAGAAGATTGCCACATTCCATATATAACTTCTCTTTTTCTGATTGAGAGAAATATACCATCTTTATCATACAAAATATTGAGTATGTATTTGAGGTGGTTAACTTTTTCTTCATATGCTTCTACTTCGTCAATCTAAGATTGAATTAAGTCTTTCTCCTAGGCTTAATTCCAAAGGTCAGTATCTTCTTCTTATTCTTCAATCTCAACGATATAGCTATCTGTTTCTTTTTCACCATCATATTCTAATTCTTGCTCAATCCTTTCATCGAGTTCATTCTCGATGATTACAGCTCGAATTCTTTTTCTAACTACACATTGTATTGGAACTATTGCTCTATTCAATCCAAGGTAAAGATCATTTCATTATTTTCAAAGTCAACATTAACTTTGTTTTTCTTGTACCAATCGATTCCTAATAATAAGGTTTGATCAGTCAAATCAATAACTTGAAATGTCATTTTTAATAAGAATTCCTTGAATGATTAATGGCACATTTTTAATTATTCCTAGTGCCTTTTCTCTTTATCCATTTGCAGTAATAATGATTATTTGCAAAGGTTCATCAATATCTAATCCAAGTTTCTTCATCAACTTTGCGTCATGATACTTACTGCAGCTTCTGTATCAATAATTGCAGTTACAGGGTTTTTCTTAATTTTAACATGAAATCTCAATGCCATAGTTCACTCTTCTTCTTCTGAAGTGTTAGTAAATGCTACACTTCCTTCTAATTTAGGTCTTCTCATTCCTTGAATAAGCTTTTATTGCTGCAATCTAAATTGTATCATTTGTTTTATATTAACATTAGTTTTAATATTTACAAGGTCGTCCCAAATGTTATAAGGTTCAATATTATCCAAAAGTGATGGTCCTCTAGGTATTCTCTTTCTAGGCTTAGTAGTATTATCTATCACAGTTTGGAGTATTTGTTTAATTATCTTCATTAATTCATTAATTGTCTGAGATCGAGTTTGTCTGGTATTATTTTCTCTTTGTGATTCAGATCTTTTTCTCTTAATCGCTGGAAAGATTTCTTATTCAAGCATATTTACTTCCTTTCTATTTTGGTTATTGTTTCTGATTCTCCAGTTATTTTGTGGTAGAACTTTTTCTGAGAGACATCGTCTGGCTATATGACCTTTTTCTTCACATTTGGAACAGATTAATTCCTTCCTTGATTTGCCTTCAGGATTGTAACTCTTTCTTTTAGCTGGATTAGTGGTTAATGCGATCATAATATTTACTTGATTCAAAGCCATTTGTTCAAATTGATTAAACAATTTTTTAATGTCATCTTCAACTTTTAGCTTGCTAAAATCGTATTCTATTGCATAATATCTTCCAGCTTCAACAGTTTTAGCTTGAGTAATAGCAGCATCCAAATCAGCTGAATTTTGAATTATAACTAAGGTTGCTAATTCCTTTTTTAATCCATTCAAGAACATTCGTACTTTAAAGGCATCTGGAATTCCTCCTGCATCTACTCTATTTGCTAGCTTCTTAAATTTAGATGCATAGGTTTCAACCTTTTCATTTCCTTGTTTCAGATTCATTAATTCATATTGTCATCTATGTAATTTTTTTTGCGATGAGAAGCATGTTAAGAATCTTTCTCTGAATCCTGTGTTTGCATCTCCATCCCATCTGTTAATTGTGTTGCTTACTAGATTATACCAATCAGCTGCTTCTTCCCTTAACATTCCTGCTGCAATTGCTACTCTTCTATTGTCTGGCCATCCATTAGCTTCTTTTGCTCTTAAGAACATTTCAATCCATTCTTGAGCATTTTCACTGTCTTTCTTATAAAAAGGATTAACATTTACAATAGAACTTACTGCTGCAGGTGATGCTGGAATATTAATACCATTAAATCCGTTGGTCATACTGGTTGTAATTTGCGTTATCAACGCATTGAGTTGGTCTGCTGTCATAGCCATATTTGCAAGATTTGGTGGAGGGGTTTCTCCATAAGTAAAGTGGTTGGTATTATATGAGGTGATAAGAATATGTTGATATATTACTTCTGGTTCACAGGTAGCAATTCTAACTAGGAAATGATGGAACAAAAGGCGAAGTTAGTCAAACTATGATGGATATTTTCAATGAACAACTCCTCAATTATGTTGTCAATAGAAACACACCTTGGTTTATTGGTCTTTGCTCGATGCTAGATCTATAAGTAAGCTCAAATCAGTCAACTCCTAACGCTCATCTCAAATTAACCGGTTAAAGATTCCACCTCAACTTTTAGCTTTGAAAAATCAAAGGGTTTTTCATTCATCTCCTCATAAGAATATCAAACAAAACTGCGATAGGCATTGTGATAAAATCAAAATCGTTAGATCGATCATATTCTTGCCATCAAGTATAAATTATTAGTCTAAAAAATTTTCATATTATCGACAAATTTTGGACAAGAATTAAGTTTTGGCTTACCAATAACTTCAAAAAGTTTAATAATTCATATATGATCACATAAGTTTGGGATTCATTGCAATGTATGATTTCGTTAAGTAAATTCCAGATTCATATTCAGTTTCGTCAACAGCTTTTTTTGATATCATTTGTAGATTGAAGTATTAAAGGTGAAAATGAAGTAACCAAAACATGATGATAGCATTTCAGTATAATTAATCTTCTTTTTCCTTCAAAGTGTCAACTCTAAAGAAGTTTCTTCCTAAGATTTCCTATCTAAGAAAGTCAAAATTATAATACTCTCTAGCATCATCTATAAGGTCATAGTCTACAGTCGAGTTTGTACGCTTTACGGACTGATGTTTTGCATGATCACTGTCGATAGTCAAATAAAGAAATCAGTTTAATTATTCTTCCGTTCAAGGTTAATTTTTCCTTCATTTCATCGACTTCACCTGTTACATACAGTAAATGCATAATTTAACAAAAATCTTAACAAATATCAAGAAACAGAACAAAACGAATCGCAAATGGTGAGTAACAGGAAGAGTCCTGATGATCAATGCATGTAGAGACTTGCCGGGAGTTTCCTATCATCACTTGGGACATGTAAAGACTTGAAACCGTAATTTCCTAGACAAGGAAAGCAGAATATATAGAGACAAATCAGGAGGCCCTTCTGCCTGTATTGGAAGCAAAATTTCTTAACTTTACAGTAATACTTTGAAAGTATTTTCACCTCCTGAAGAAATCATTTATTCCATGTGTTATTGAGGGAATTCCATTGGTGGTAAATCGATAAGAGCACAGTTTAGGGTCAGAGTTGGCAATTTTTGGAATTACGCTATGTTATTAGGATTATCGTAAACAAAGTAATTAGTACTTTAGATATAAAATATTCATCACTATGTGACCAGGGTAAGAAAAAAGATGTGATCGAACCAGTCAAGCTTTCAACTATATATGATTAGATGATATATGTACGACAAGACATTTTACTCATTGTTTTGAAATCACAAAGAAAATAATTTTACAAACCCACCTTCTCATATTTTATGTTTGAAGCTAGACTATATGTACCTAGTCATGTTATCATTAAATGTTGACGGAATCATCAACTCCTATCATCTAATATTGCTCGAGTTTAGTGAAATATCTTATAAATGATATACTGTATAAACGTTATTATGGTGGAATTGCAAATAAAAGAATAACCTATTTTATTCTATTCAAGATACTAGTGTTGCATCAAGCAAGCCTTTCAATTAGATAGCATTCAGCAATGGCTAGGGAAACATTCTATGTAAAAGGTTGATTCGAAATAATATAATTAAATAAGTTATTAAAAATAAACAAATAAAATTTTTTTAAAAAAAAATAAATCTAATTATAACCGATTTAAAAAAAGTCTTTTGAACTGAAATTATAAATTGGTCCAGTTTGGTCCGTCCTTAGTTTTAAAAACTAGTTTTAAGAACGTAGACGGACCAATCTATCCCTGAACTCACCTGAAAAATATGTCGTAATTACTGATAATATACAGCCAAATTATAATCGGATTTAATTCTTCAACCGTAAAGTTTAATTACCATGATACTTATGCTACTCAATTGCCGTATTAATTTCGACTTTTCCTGTTAAGCTCTCAACAAAAAACCCAATTGTCATGTGATAAGGAATTCACAATTGAACCTCATCTTTATCATCATCGTATTTTCTTGCCCTTGATAACATTTTACTATTTGTAAATTGTTATGTCGTCTTTATAAATGCACAAAGGGGTAGAGTGAATCCTTTTCATAACTAAAAGATATTTTAATATGTTCGACTATTTTTGACTTGTTAATAATCATAGTAGCCTTATTGATTAATTTTTTGTAGTTCTATAAATTGACCATAAAATTACAGCCACGATTGCTTTTAAAGAGTAATCCATCCCAACTAAGAATATTATGAAGTTCAGGTTGAACACTTGAGTTTGATCTGTTGCAACGATATTAATTTGGTATCCTAAGATGTTATAAAAAATATATTTTTTATATATTGTAAATTTTTAAAAAAAATGTATATATAATATGATAAAATATTACCTGCGATTAATACATATTACGACAGTGTTTGTAATCAGAGAACAGCATAAGATTCGCAAGAATATTTGTCAGCGCAAATTCTTGATGAGTTGGTACATTGATAACATACTCATCCAGACAAGAGATATCCACGAAAACCTTATTTTTAAAATAAAATAATTTAATAAGTTATAAATCTTATGCATGACGCTATTTTATATACAATAAAATGAATAGGAACAAACATATTCAGGTTTTTGTTGAAAAGGTACTTGACAGGATGAATCATGCGTGATGGAGAGGAGAATAAATAAATTCCGGAAAATTTTTCTTCATTAGAAGCTAGAATGTATCAAATCTTGAAATAAAGAAACCTGCAAATTAATACTATATATTAAAAGGAGTTATCAAATGCAAAAAAAAAAGAGAAATAAAATTAACATTTAAATGTTAATTTTCTCAACTCGGTTGCTATTGCTTTTGGCTTGTTTACTATGTTGGTTCAAGAGTTAAAATCAGTTTGGGCATAATTTGTTAAATCATAAAGACACACATTAAATCCAAACCATATTGAAACAAGGTTTCCATCTCGTAGCAAGAAAATAAGGTAATTTTCGTCCAATATCTTTTGAAAAGGATGGATTATTAAATCATATTTAGAATTGAAATATAAAATGGCAAATGCGAGGAACGTTCTTATACGTACTTTCATTAAAACACACTTTTCTTTCACATACAACGGAACGAAATCATTATGAACATCGATAAGTTTCTCTTTTATAATCATTCCTTATGAGATATTATCAACACGATATCTACACCAAAAATTGTGGAATTTAAGGACGTTATGCAATATTTTCTCTTAAGGTGAGTATAAGATTTCTATTTTTCAACAAAAAATGCAAAATCAAAAACAAGGTATTTGCGTTACTGATTAATCATGTGTCGCACCATCTCCTTATGGTATAAAAAATTTTGAATGTGTCCACTTTCAGTCAACAAAATTACCTGTTATCTAACACGTGTTAAATTGATCTTCATGAACCAATGAGAATACTGTACGAGCGAGCTTAACGATGTATCGCGAATCTAGTAGAATTTTTTTCTCATACAAAATTAAATTATAAGAAACTTGAATTTTGATTGTCACTAATCGAATTAGTCAGAAGCGAAATTAATTTAAGGTTCTCAAATATAATTTTGGCAATTTTTAATTAGAAAATTTTTAATTAACAATACCCGGAAGCAATTATTCAAGAAGTATTTTGAGGGAGAGCTGTCATAAATCGTAGAATAATTATTAGGCTATCCTACTCACATTCATATGAAAGAAAAAAATTTTTTTCTTTCCGCATTTGTTTGATTATTATTTAAGGATAACAGGGTTACCTGAACTTCTCAAAAAAAAAAAAAATAAATAAAATAAAATATTAAATTTAAATAAATCAAACTTCAACAAATAATAACATGGGCATCTAATGATCCCAATTCGTAATGTTTAGCTCATTAGATTAGCTTCAATATTTGATCTGTATTGAGTTATATTTAAGAAATACATATAATTTGGATTTGAGATATAGGACATAAAAATAGGAACTTTAATATAGTATGGTTTTGGTAAGAATCAAACAACATACGAAAGGACATTAATGTTGAATTTTACAATTTTAGGTTCAGGAGTATTCATAATCGCGATCTACGCCAAAAATTTAACATATTTTAATATAGTTTTAGCTAGATGTATATTAGCAAGACAACTGATTTATATGTTCTAACGTTAATATTGCTGTTATTCTATCGAATGTTAATGATATAATGCTTTTAACTTGTACTTTCCTTCGGTAAGTGTTATGTAATCAAATACGTTATTGAATTTTTTGGGTGAGAAATCGATCAGAAACAAAAAGTAATATTAAATAGGATATGTCTGTTAAAGTTCATATTTGAAGGTTTTATTTTTACAATATGTTAAAATGTTTAAAATTTTAGGTGAGGTTTACGATAGTCGGTACTGAATTCAATATTTTGGATTATGATCATTGTCTTGAATAATATTATTCTTGTTTATTAATATAGTTTACTAAATTACATAAAAATTATTGTTAATAATTTCGTATCAAATTGTTATAAAATATTTTCTTACTTGAGAATTAAAAATTAATATAAATCGTACTTTTTAGAATTGTGATTAATTAATAGAAGTACACAATTTTTATAACTTTTCTTTTATTGTATCTGTATTTGAAACATTTAAAATGATAAATCAACTTAAATATTTGTATACTAAAAAAGTTTAAAATTATTTATAAAAAAAAAATTGTCTTAAATAACTTTATTTCATCATGTCTAAAAAAGGCTAAATAAATGAAAATAGCTGGTAATGTTAGATGATAATCCACTTTCCTTATACAGTATATAAAGTACATAAAAAAAAAAATTTCTTACTTCTTTCATTGCCAGGCAAAACTCATTTTAGCAAATGGCAAAAGTCGAACCCCTATATATCGACACTTTAATAAAGTTTTGACTTTTGTCGGATTTTATTATGGTTTCGAGTTTCGATGGTTTTGCCAATGAGATTTTATTATATGACCCGTCGAAAACCTGAGAGTTTTGCAGGCAATTATACATTCAATACAAAAAAACCTTTTTTTTTCACAGTAAAGACGACCGCCTCAGATAAGTTAAGAATGACCTTTACATTAGGTTGGAAATTGTCTTGTCGAATTAATACCAGGTGGACTTGCGTCATTGTCATTTCACTTTTGATAAATCAGTAGGATAGAACTGGAAGCGTTGTGAGGTCTTCTCTTTAGTAATTTTTGTCTAAGGATTTGTTTATTTGAGTGAAGGTCTACTAATTCTGAAGTAGGGATATGTTATATTTTCCTTTGCATAACGACATTATCATATTTAGCGACAATCGTTTACCTACTTAAAGCAGCGTTTAAGAATTATTTTATCTTGCTGGTCAGATGTTTTTGAACTGGAAGTGAGAACTTCCTTCTCCATTTTATTTATCTATTTAGTTACTTACTAGCTTTATTTTATATTTACTTACTTCTTAATAAAAATCATATAGGTATTCGTCGTCATAGGCCTAAAGTATGTATATTGACAATGAATGAACGAGTAAATATGGGACTATACCTATTTAAATGAGGTAAGAATTTGTCTTGATTGAATTAATACCAATAGACTTGCGTCATTGTCAGTAAGTCAAACTATAAAGTAGAGAACCGGAAATTCTTCGTGGTTCTCGCTCAGCGAGAACGTCCTTTCATTTTTTTTATTATTTGGTGGCTTAATTATTTAGCTAGCTTTGTTTTAACATTTAGTTTAATTTTTTTAAATCATTAAGTAAACTATTCAAGTCACACATAGAAGTATCCGCCACTATTAAATTTATATTATTGAAATGTGTTTTCATTTATTCACCGTTCTATTTCATTTTTTAATCATTTCGGATTTAGAAGTTCTCGAGCAGTTTCTCACATGGCCTTGGAGTATCTGTGGAGGAGAGCATTAAATGACGAAAGCTTGAAGCAGGTTGTTGACTCGGCTCATCCTAAATATTTGAAAGTTATTTACAAAGTTCTCATTTTGGTCTTTGTTTACATAAATATACTTTTTTTTCTATTGACAATTGGTCCGTCTACTGGAACGGTTCCTTCAGCCTACGCGGTACCTCTAACAGAATACAATTGATGACCAATACTTCAGAGCGGTCCTCCTGTTGCACTATTCAACAACTCAACGTCTTTGAAAATCTTATAAAAATTTCAACAAATCCAAAGCTTTGAGTGAATGACGCTTTCAATCTACTGTTTTCTACATTTGCGGAATTTTACCCCAACGGTTATGAAAATTTTGACGGAAAGATAGTTGACGAAGTTTTCATGAAAATTGTATACGGAAGAATTGATGAATAATAAGCGAATAACGGAACTTGGATAACCATTGTACGCCTATCGGAACATTTTAAAGGAAAAGGGAAATGGGTCTAGCACGATCATTGCACTATACGATAATTATTTATTTTCTTAAACGTTATATATTTATTATATGAAAAAATCTTTAAGGATTATTTAAATAAATATATGGGAGGTTTGCCATTAAAATCGAGTTACGGACATAGTAAATCATATGATCACGTAACGTGATTTTAATAGCCTACCTCCTATATTACAAAAAATAATGATTATTTAAATTTAATTATAGAATTTCATTTATTATTGAAAGTTATTAAACATTTCTTAATACATTTCAAATTTAATACTTCATAACTATTATCTCAATTTATATTATATAGAAATTTTGTTAAATTTGAATCATAAATTATTTTAATTATTCTTGAATTAACCTTTTACATTATATTTCCCAATAAATTAATATAAAATTCCAATTGTTCCAAGTGATATACTAATTATTCCTACTAATATGAGTAAGCAGGATAGATAATTAAAGAGGACTATCCCTTAAACAGTAGGTTGTGAAGTTGCACTGTAAATTGCCTGCGTTACAGTTTTACAAAGTAAGGGAAGGGATTTAACTTTGATACTCGTGGCTTATTCGAAGTTTTTTTTGCAACTATTCATTCATTCAAAACGTTCAAATATAAAACATAACTGCATTTATATCAAAGTTACTGAGATTATATAATAAATGATCCATATCTATCATGTGATTTAAAGCTTGTGGGAATAAATTCTGATAAGCGAAGCCACAATTCAACATTATTAATAACAATCACAATATGTACAATTATTTTTTCATGTGTTTTGATCAACCATTCGAGTTGGAGTTCTGTCGACGCGTCGACATTGGTTGGCATTGATCTTTGGTTTTACTTTTACTTTTTTTTATCGTACTTATTTAATAATAACTTGAACTTGCAATTTTTAACCAAATTTTTATGAAAATAAAAATGGTGCAACTTTTGATCTATTTATTAATTTATTTGAAAAATGAATGAGTCCATTAACTAAGTAAAAATTCGACTAACCAACCCTAAGTAGATTATGAAAATAGAACGGTTATTAGATTTAGAAACCCAATTGCTATAGGTACAGTCATTAGGAATAATGCGGCGATCAATAGGAATTAATATGACGTTCACTTTTTTTTTTTTTTTTTTTTTTTTTTTTTTATTAATTTTATTAATTTTTTACTCTACAAAAATTTCACATTTTTTTTTAAAGGTAAGCAGGTAAGAGTCCACTTTCAAAATAGGTGTAATAGCCAAGTAATGTTCGGAACTTTATAGGGAGAAATGAACCGCTATATTCTGAATTTACTTATTGTTTTTATGATATTTAGTAATGAATATTCAAAGAGAAGACGCGTTTTACTTTGGTGAAGCCGAAGAATTTGAAAGGTGGATTAATAGGAAAAAACCAAAAAGAAAGAGTAAAAGGTAGGCAGTATTTTCAAAATAAGGTGTAACTGAAAATGGGAGAAGAGTTATACTATCAAATAAATCGTCTCTTTTTGATGATATTATAATATTACTCATCGTTCTTTTTTATTTTATTTGCGGGGGGAGTATTATAGGAAACACCATGTAGAAATAAGAAGGAGAAGGTTGGAAGAAAGAACGAGGATGGAAGAGATAAAAGAAAAGAAAAGAAAAGAAAGAAAATATTTTTTAAAAATTATGATGATATTTATAATCATAATATTTTTTATTTATTTAATTTTTTATCTTTTATCTTAAACAATAAATTTTTTAAACGTGATTTTAATCGCTTTAATAATGAATGACAAATAATGCCAAATTACAAATATAAAAAATAAAATTTAATCTTTAATTTTTTGCTTTTTGCTTCATTTATAAACGACCGGGATATATAAAGTATACTAATTTTTCATCAACCCAGATCCTTATATCACGAATTTATGCGAAAGGTCAAAAAATTATATTATTTAATACTCTAGAAAAATCTAGATAAGGATGACATTTCTTGATAATGGATGAAACCAGCATCATCAACCTTAAATACAAATCAATCAGGAGAGTGGAAGAATTATAAAATTTGAAGTGCGTTCAAAATCTAAGCGATAAAATATTTTGAGCATAGCCAATTAAACCTTACCCATTTGGGTCAGTAGAGTACGAAAGGTATCGATGGCTAAATCACAAATCGTTGGGATAGTAATCCTTCGCCGCCAGACATGAGTTCTTAGCAAGATCGGCGCAATAACGATTTCTGTACGGTGCGTGTTATATCAAGAAGAAATAAAAGATATTCATCGAATAAATTTCGCGATGTTTTAAACAATGAGATGCTTACGTTCTTTTGCAGATTTCTTTCTTCCTTATTAATTTGTAACTTATTATTCTTTGAGGAATTTAAAGTATAATTTATATAAAGTCAAAAATTTTTAATTAGAAAATACTTTTTATTGTTAAAAGAATATAAATGGGTCGTTTGCTATTAACAATCAATTTACGAAACATGATTTTAATTTTGAACCTCAAAAAATAATAAATTTAAATATTAAAAAATATCAATTATTTCTTTCATTTCTTTGGGTTTCTCGTCTTGTTCATCATTTTCTTTTTCGTCTTAAACTTTAGAAATGATGGAAATAATTTAATCGTTATACAGTTATAAATTTTTAAGGATTAAAAATAGCGATTGTCAAACAAATGAAACATGTGAAGCAAAAAATTTTAATAAAATAAATCAAAAAAATATATTTTTTTTTTTATTAAATATTATTGTATAAATTTATTATTTTTCAATTATAAATACATCTTTGTTTCCCTCCTATAAAATTCCATTACATTCCCATATCCCATCCCATCCCATCCCATCCCATCCTTAATTAAAAATTAAAAAAAAAAATAATGAGAAATTATTCAAAAAATCAAAAACCAAAAATTAAATTAAATCTATACCATAATATCCTCGCTCCTGATTTTCTTTCTTCAAATTCCAATCTTCATTCCACTACGTCCGTCCGTCCGTCCGCCGCTTGAGAATTTTATTAGAAAATTAGTATAATCAAATTAGTTAGTTTCAAAAAAAAAAAAAAAAAAAAATTTAATAAAAAATTTTAATAAAAATACACACTAGCCGTAATATCCTCGTTTCCGATTTTCTTTCTTCGGATTCTGCCGTTCCGTCCGTCCGTCCGTCCGCCGTTTGAGAATAGTAAAAAATATACAACAGGACACCGAGGGTTATCCCACGATATATATTTACACCGCCTAAATCAGACTGTCACTTGGAACTACATAACCGAAACCATCTCCAGTATCAGTAGACCTCGGCCAAGCAACCAGTCCGGAGAGTTTCGTTAAAGAGAATTTTAGAGAAGTTTTTCATATTAGTATATGGTCCCAAAAAATACTTACAAAAAGAAACTTCAGAAAAGAAAGTAATGCATTTTAAAAACTCAATAAAAATACATACCGGGGATCATAAAATATATTGTATAAGGGAATGATAAAAGAAAAAATATTGAAATTTTTTTTGAGAGGTAGGTAAAATTTATAAGGGAAGGGTAAAGGAAAATTTTTGAGAGGTGAGGTAAGGGAAGGGAAAATATGTTAAAATTTTTTTGCGAGGTGAGGTAAAATTTATAAGGGAAGGATAAAGGAAAAAATTTTGAACTTTTTGAGAGGTGAGAATTTATAAGGGAAGGATAAAGGAAAAAAATTTTGAAATTTGAGAGGTGAGGTAAAATATATAAGGAGAGGTAAAGGAAAAAATGTTGTAAGTTTTTGAGAGGTGAGAGAAAAAGTTAAAATTTTTAAGAGGTGAGGTGGAGAGTATTTATAATAAAATCAAAGACGCGTAATGCGAAATGTTTTTGTTTACATCACTGATCTATTAATTATTGAAAGTCGCGTTACTGATTCTAAAAATAAATTTTTGAAACGCGTTATTTTTATTGAGACGCGTTATTCTTTATTGATTCAACTTATCATGTGATTACAGATTTCTAAAAATAAAATAAATTATTGACGTGTTATTATTTATTTTTACAAATCATCATGATTACACATTATCTTAGAAATGTCTTTTTATCTGGTATTATGCCTAAATAAAATAAATAAAAAATTAGAGGTTATTATAATATCTTTTAATGCAAGCAGTAGTTTTATTTTTAAAATATTTTATTAATTTCAACCTTAGTTAGTGGAGAAAAAAAAGTTGTCTCATTAAAAGTTCATTATAATATTATTATTACGTATCATACTTTTATTCTTTTATTCTATTCTTCAATTTCTAATACTGCCTCTTTTATCAATATTTCATTAAATTAAAATATAGGAACGTGTACATAGCTTTCGTGACTATATACTCAGTTTTATTTAATAGAAGCGGAAAGTTTAAATTTATTGGCTAACAAGGACAGCAAGGAACCTTAAATTTGGAGACGGTATATTTTTTTCTTCACTCGCTAGTGAGCTACCATTTCTGAACTGTTTATTTTTATAGAAATGGAAAATATTAGGGATGACGACGAAGAGTTTCGGTATTGCATATTTGAGATTATACGAAAATTGGAATCATAGGTCCAAGTAACGAGGCTGTGCGTTATTCGTATATCGAATCAATATTCCGCTATCAAAACGTTTCCAACACTACTCGACCACAGTTCGTTATAAATATCGGTATAATTTGGATATAACGATATTTTTCATATAAATTCGGACACAACGTTATATGGGAGACTTGCTATTAAAATCGAGTTACGAACATAGTAATCCCATATCAAGAATATTTCTTCTGAACAAATCCCTTATACAAAATATTTTGAAATATTCCATACGAAAAATGGTCTCTCCAGCATTACACAATCTAACTGTAAGTCACAAGAAATACCAGGATATAGCCCAGAACATAGAAAAAAGTAAAGTAAGTATAATTAGTTGAGAGACGGGGCTTTTAGCCAGGATCTTGATGCCCTGTTTGCGTGCGTAATGGGGGTAGGGTTTATACACCACAAGTACTTATCAGATGCGTTTGCCGATTCATGCGTCAGTGAACTTGATGGATCTATCAATGTTTTCTTTGATGAAGATTCTACTGATTCTGGAGGAATCGGTTGTCTTCCTTTATAACATATAAAGAGAGGGACTGTTGATGTATACCTGCAATATTAATTTTTGTTTCTGGAAACGTTCCTAACTTATCATTTTTTTTTAATCACGAATTAAGGATGACGTATTCGGCGAGGCCCAGCTACCTCAAAATAATACCAATGCAATCTCCCTTATGGTACCTCGGCAAGTGACCTTCACGTTATCGTGCTCGCCACTAAGGCAAAATCAGTGTACATTCCTCTCTCTAATAACTACAAGCCTAGACCATTCGCTATCCTTTACTTCGAATCAGCTGACACAATAAAAGACGCTATTAAGTCTGGCAGAGATTTAAAGTTGGAAAAAATAAAAGTAAATAGAATATGGGAGATTAGAATCAAACGTCTACGTCGTCAACCTCATCCACTTCATCCACTGCCGACCTCATCAAAAAAAAGAAAAGCTACGCAAATATCAGGTAATAATAAGATCAAGTTTTGAATTGCCTTGCGTCAAATGTATTGGACCTTTGCTCATTTATTCAATTACACAATTTCATTTTTGTTAGAAGTTCTAAATCTAGAAGAGGCATTATCATATGCTTCACCACTTCTAAATTATCTCCCGATGCTTGCGAATCGAAAACTTGCATAAAAGCTGACCACGAACCATCTAAAGTACGTCTTTGGGAAGGCTCTCTCGAAGACGTATCATCTGAAGTACGTCTTTGGGAAGGCTTTCTCGAAGACGTAAACAACTATCACTTTGATGGCCAACGGAAATCCACGATTTGCACAACATAATCGGGTGAAGATTGAAAAGGAGGTATTGAGCAACTTAATGGAGTATACAAGACGAGATACCAAAGCCGCCGGTATACCTGACTTCAATTGTCATAAAGTTGCAATTGCGAAATTGGATAAAGACTTTACGTTATTGTTGCCAATTGAAGTCAAAAGGAAAAACATATAATAAGGCCTATTCATGATGATCATAATCATGATCATAATTTACTTGATTTATTGGCAACGTTCCCATATAGTCCGGTTCTTTAAACCAATTCTAATAACTGATTATATTGGTTAATTTAAATCGGTTCTAAATAACCGATCTTATTATATTATTATTTAATTAATATATTATTATTATATAAAATCACTATTGTAAAATCAAAGGAATTATACATAACGATAATACAATAAAACTTTAATCTACCAATCAAATTAAAGAGTAATAATTTAATTATTTTTCTTTTTATGAGTTTTATTTTTTAATTTTTATTTTTACGTAAATTTGAAATTTATGTAATTGAATTAGAACGTGATATTGAAAATTTTAATAATTTAGAAAACATCAATATATTTGATAATAATGAAATTGTTAAAGCAAGTAATTTAATTGATTCATTTAAATATAAAGTAAATGATTATATGAATATACAATCTAATTTATTAACGAAAATACAATTAAAGAGAAAATTTTGAAGAATATATTAAACAAGTATTGAGCTCCGCAGTAAAAGAATTAATTTTTGAATCATGTGCGATGATCATATCGGAGAATTTTTTCTCAATGTCACACAAGAACAACGATTCCAAAATTTTTTCGGGGAATATCACTGGAACAGCAAGGAAAAAGGTGCGGAAAGAGCAAAAATGTCATATTTCCAATTTGATTGAGTTCATGATAAAGTAATGCACTGTGTAATTTATTTGAAGCAGATTATTATACGAAAATGATCGATAGGGCGCAGTTATTTGAGTTGTTTGTGTAAAAACAAGGTTATTTTATACTTTTTTTACTGCGAAAGCTTAACCCACTTTTTTCTTATTTTATTCAAAAAAGTTAACAGTGATCACTTATGGAAATTTAAATATATATATATATATAAATAGGTTTGATTTAGTCACCTTTTTTTTGAAATCTTTGACAATACTAGTTTGTAACTATTGTACGACATATAAAAATTTACCTTTTTCGGAGTCCTGTGTAGATCTTTGCCAGATTCATCGAAAAGCAATTAAAACAATTCTGACGATTTTGTTACACAACGTGCAGAAATATAAGTTGTTACCGTTTCAAATTTTTTTTTTTTGTATTGCAAAATAAAATTATTTTTTTTTATATTTTAAACATTTCAAAAATTATATTTTTAAATAAAATTTTCATTAAATTCTTTTACTTATTTATTAATAATCATGGTAGTTAGAGTATTAGATGATTATTATTTAGCCATAACAGCAATATTAACAATTGGATATCAACTAATTTTTTTTACTATCGCTTATACATTTCAAATTGATTCAGGTAAGTAATCAACAAAGCAGTTGAAGTTATTCAATAACGATCAAATATGCTAACATATATTTTTATTATTTTTAAAGTGACTGATTTTGGAGGTAATTTTTCTTTTAATTTCTGAGTTTATATTTTCAGGTTAACGATTTCTTCATTCTTTCAATAGGTGGCAGTAATGTTGCTTTATTGGCGATATTAACATTAGTTCTTGGTCAGGTAAATATAACGATCAATCTAACCTTATTCCCTTTATCAATAATGTTTTCTTGATATTATACAGACATGGTATGTTCGACAAATAATCGCGACGACATTCGCAGTTTTGTGGGGTGCAAGATTAGGATGTAAGCAAGATAACTTACTATAATTTACACATTCGTCATTTAACTCCTTTCATTCTTCACTTTTCTTTTTTAGTATTTTGTTTATATCGAATGTTAAAATCAGGAAAGGATTCAAGATTTGAAAGTATTAGATCTAAATTTGCATCATTGCTGTTCTTCTTTGTGTTACAAATGATATGGGTTTGGATAATTAGTTTACCTTTCATATTTTTAAATTCTCCAAGAATAAGTAATGATGAATATGATGGCAGGGATGTTAAATTCGGTAGAGCTACCGATGTTATTGGTGTGTTTGTATTTATCATCGGTATATTATTTGAATCTATTTCTGATTTTCAAAAGGTAATTAAATATTAAGTAATTGTTTACTTTAATAATTTGTATTGCTTCTACTTGTACTTACAATATTTTACTTTTTTTTCCTGTATACAACAGTTCGTGTTCAGACAAAGCCGTACATCACCAACACAATTTATGAAGACAGGACTTTGGTCGTGGAGTAGGCATCCAAATTATTTCGGTGAAATATGCGTAAGTTATTTGATATTATTTATTTTGAAGCATTAACGACTTTAAACCAACTAAATTATCTCTTTTTTTTAAATAAAAAAATAAAAAAAAAATCTTTATAGATATGGTGAGTAAAATCAAGTAATAATATTATTCTCATAGCATGTTTTACCAACTCGATTTTAAATTTCGATTGTTTAGGACTGGAATCTTTTTATTATGTCTACAACCTACTATTTCTGGAATAGGTACAAATGCCGCTTATGCTTCCATTACCTCTCCCGTATTCACAATTTGTAAGTATAAAATTTATTTAATTGATTTTCAAAATTTCAATCCCCTTTTCAACTTCTTAAACTCCTTTCTTTTCTTTCCCAAAGTCTTGCTCATGTTTTTAAGTGGGATGCCATTAAACGAACGTCCTGCACATGAAAAACAATGGAAGCAAGGAAACTGGAATGATTACTCCAAATATCTTGAGCGTACTTCTGTATTAATACCATTTCCACCAAGTCTCTATGAACCATTACCGCGAATAATTAAAAGTACCTTATTTTTGGAATTTCCTCTGTATAGATATGTACCTGATTTAGAAAATGGTGATCAAAGTGGTTTAACTAGAGATGGTGCAAGTGTAAATGGTGAGAGTAGTGGTAATGTTAATGTCGCTGAAAATGATCAATAATAATAATAATAATTGATTCCTTGGTATAATTAAACCGAATTTATTATTAATTAATAGAATTATTTAAGCAAAAATAATAATAATATGTATTGTTTAATATCTTCATGTCTCTTTCGGTCTTCAATTATTGATTGTTTTTGGGTGTCAAATTTAATAAAAATCACAGGATAATTAACTTCTAAAAGAAAATCTTGGGTTCAATTTTTAAGATTTGTGATATAAATTAGCGAGTGCGCATGGCTAACCATTTTAGATAATGGAAACACGTTTAAGATTATATGTAATTTCGAATTTAAATTCGACCGCAAAAAGGAAATTCTCTACAAAAGTTTTTGATAGCAAAGGGCATTGAGAAAAAAACTTATATCTCTTTAGGCCACGCACATTAGCATTTTGGTTCACGTCACCGGCCGGGTCACCTTTAAATTTTGACCAAAAAAAAAGTGTAAAGATTTTATCTCAATACTTCGAAATATAATACTGTTGTGTTCAATTCTTTCTTTAAATACAATTTTAAATGTAAGCAGAAGGTTTTTTATTAATAAGCAATCGAAGAATTATGATGTAAATGTTATTCAATAAAATTAATTATTTAGTATTGTCTCAACATTGACGCTCTTTAACTCAAATAAATGCTAATCACTAAACGCTAATTAATTAAAACTACGCAAAATAATAATCGGATATATATAATAAATAAAAAAACATTAAAACAACGAAATTAACGAAGTTACAACAATATCGCAAGGAAATATATTTAAATTTTTAATTAGCATTAACAACATCGATATGGTCGAAATTGATCTTCAAAGACTAACCGAGGCGAAAATTATGATTTTTTCGGGTGGAATTATTTCCAATGTAACAATACGAATTTTATGGTATTAACACTTTATTTTATTGACATATAATCAAATCCGTGTCTCGTCATTTCTTTGTTTACTTGATTTTTTATATTTCTTTTCTGTTTCTTCTCTTTTTTTACTTCCAACTGACACATTTACAGCATTCACCGCCGATTATAATAAATCAACCAATCACATCGTTACGATTTACATAAAAAAATTTTTTTTTATTAAACCCATTTTAAAAATTTAATGCTAATATGCGTGGCCTTAGTATTAATGCTACAAATGTTTCTATCGCTAAAACGGTGGATAATGATGACGAATTTGAAGATGAAATTGATAAATTGTTGAATTTATCGAGAAAATTCATTTTTTATTTTTTTTTTTATTTTTTGATATTTAACTATCAACGAATATTAGCAAAAATCACAATTTTGGTCCAAAGAAATTCAAGCCTTATAATTATACAAATAGCAAAGCAGAACCAATATAGGAGTTGTAGTAACGTTACATGATTTTTGTTAAAGAAGACTACTATTCATGTAATATTCTAACTGTTGGTTTTTATTTAAAAATGTTTCCCAATTTACTAATTATTAGCACGTGATATTGAGAAACCAAAAAACATTTAATATTTAGTATCTTGATTCTGAATAGCGATGATTGTTGTTTTTATTGACAATGAAGTCGATTCAATGTCCATAAGGATGTGATAAAACAAGGTAAAACTTAACTTTTTTATCACAACTTAAAATATGGGAATATGACGCCTCATTAGATATAGTATAACAGTTATATAGTAAATTGCAGATAATTTGTTCTTGATAACAGATGTTGATGGATCCATACTCATACAGACGGCCAAGAACAAATCCAGCCGTAACGCCTATGGAAGTAGTTGAAGATGTGAGAGCATTAAAGAACAAGTTTCTTACATATATATTCTTGAAATTAATTCATCGTTATTAGTACAGTTTCGCCACATGAAATTCAGGAATGTTCGTGAGAAATCTTTAATCGGACTCTATGGTTTTTAAAATTCTTCACCGGTTATAATTAGGAATTATAAGGTGTATAAAGTCATATTATGAATATGTTTAAAACTTTCTATAAAATAGAGAAAAAAATTAAAGTTTCCATAATAACTCACCACCGATTTAAATAATATCTTATCTCATGGTTTTGCAGCCTTTTGATAATAAACCAAATGTTTTAAATTTCCATTTTCGATGGTTGAATTCCATAAAAGCTCACACTTCAAAATTATTAAGATAAAGATAAGATATCATCTTATCAAGAATTGTTATTTTCTTGATTTGTAAAGTACAAGCTAAAACTCGATTTATCTCGTAAACTAACCTAGATAATATTGCCCCTTTTAATATTAAATATCCTCCTAAAATTGAGTTTATGATTGAGTTTATATAACAATCTAAAAATTTGGATTACTGACCCTTAAATAATGAATTTATATTCCGCATGAAACATCACAAATTTTGTAATTGAAGATAAATTTATTCCATACGTACCATAGCTTTTTATTTGTTTATAATTAATTTATCTAACTGAGATCTAATTCAACTTTGGAAACAATATAATACTAAAGCTATCTAAAAATATTTATTCGATTACGAATTTCTAACGTTATTAAACTTTCATTATTCACCACAACAGCGAATTCTTTATTCAACAATATAATCATCATTACCATTCAATACAATATTAAAGTTTATGCATATTGCAAAACTTAATGCTCTTCTAGAGTTTTTAATAGTATTACCATCATCATCACTGTCAGTTTCGCTGTTTAAGTCACCCCTAATACTATTACTACTAGAACTTAAGTAATCTACATCCATACATTCACTGCTAAAAGTTGTTGTTTCTTCATCAGAACTGCTATCATCGCTATCAGACCTTCTCACACTTGGATCTTCGACACCAGTGCTGCTCTCGCTATCAGAACTGCTTATACTTGTATCATCACTATCAGAACTGCTTGTACTTGTATCATCGCTATTAGAACTGCTAATACTTGTATCATCGCTAACAGATCTATTCTCATTTATATCATCGTTTTCAGAACTATTATCACTTATATCATTCCTATCAGAACTGCTCTCAATTATAACATCGCTATCAGAACTGCTCTCATTTGCGTCATCGCTATCTCCATTAATAGAACAAAAGATATCGCTACTAGAACTATTTGATTCAAAAATATTCTTATTATCAGAACTACTCTCTTTGTTATTTTCATTGTTAAATTTAGCCTCGTCTTTATCAATAATAACTGTATCATCATTGCTACTAGGAATTGCGATTCTGTTTCTATTGCTAAAAATACAAAGCATCAAATCATCATCGCTACTGGAAGTTGAAGATTCGTTGCAAGAATCATTAGAGTAATTCCGAAAGGTAATATTTTTGATACTACTCTCTTCATCATAGCTGTTAAAAGTTGAGTTTTCTTCAGATTCAAAATCATTTATAATATTATCTTCACAAAGGCTTATAACAGATTCACTATTGACATTATCTTGGCTGCTACTAGTTGTGTTGCTGTTGTAAAAGTTAATTGAATTATCGTCATCAAAACTTAAACGTGAATTACTATCAATATAATTGTTTTCGCTAGAAGTCGAAGCCTTACTGCTAGAATCATCACCTGAATCATCGTTTTCTGTCTCTAAAGTTACAGTTTTGCTGATGAAATCGTTATTATTCTCATTAGAAACTGCCATCATTTTACTGCTAGATTCAACACTTGTATCATCGTCTTCACTCTTGCCGTCCTCATCTTGGCTACTATAATCTTTATTGGAGAAAGTCAATTTATTGCTAGATTTTTCGCTTGTATCATCGTCTTCACTCTTGTTGTCCTCATCTTGGCTACTATCAATTGAGTTGTCGTCTTCACTTTTATCGTCATCCTCATTTTGGCTACTATAATCTTTATTGGAAAATGTCATTTTATTGCTAGAATTTTCGCTTGTATCATCGTCTTCGTCCTCATTTTGGCTACTATAATTTTTATTGAAGAAAGTCATTTTATTGCTAGATTTTTCGCTTGTATCATCGTCTTCACTCTTGTCATCGTCCTCATCTTGGCTGCTATACCCTTTGTTGAGGATTGACATTTTATTGATAGATTTGTCGCTTGTATCATCGTCGTCGTCCTCATTTTGGCTGCTGTAATCTTTATTGGAGAATGTCATTTTATTGCTGGATTTTTCATTTATTCCATCGTTTACACTCTTGTCGTCGTCCTCTTCCTGGCTACTATAATCTTTATTGGAGAAAGTCATTTTATTGCTAGATTTATTGTTTGTATCATCGTCTTCACTCTTGTCATCGTCCTCATCTTGGCTGCTATACCATTTGTTGAGGATTAACATTTTATTGATAGGTTTGTCGCTTGTATCATCGTCGTCGTCCTCATTTTGGCTGCTGTAATCTTTATTAGAGAATGTCATTTTATTGCTGGATTTTTCATTTATTCCATCGTTTACACTCTTGTCGTCGTCCTCATCTTGGCTGCTATACCATTTGTTGAGGATTAACATTTTATTGATAGGTTTGTCGCTTGTGTCATCGTCTTCACTCTTGTCGTCGTCCTCGTCCTGGCTATTATCATCTTTGTTGGAGATTGTCATTTTATTGCTAGATTTATTGTTTGTGACATCGTCTTTATCTTTGTCGTCCTCATCTTGGCTACTATCTTCTTCGTTAACCATTTCGTCATTAAAATATTGCATGTTATCATTCTCATCATCCTTATCCTTATCATAAATGATTGTCATTTTAGAATTCTCGTTTGAGTCATTGTCTTCAACTTTTCCATTATCTTTGATACAAATATCATTGTTAACCATTTCGTTATTAATAAATTGCATGTCATTAACCTCATCATCTTCATCCGTATCATTAATGATTGTCATTTTAGAATTCTCGTTTGAGCCATTGTCATCTTCCTTATCTTGGTAACTACCATCTTCTTTGTTAAACATTTCGTTCTTAATAGATTGTGCGTTATTTATATTAATAATGTAAGAGTAAGAAAAAGATAAAAAAAGATTTTATTTCGTATACTTACAAAATTTTCATCAGAGAAACCATGAGACTTCAATGCGTTTGGATTTGTTTGCAACTCATCATTTTCAGGTTCTGAAGATATATAATGATTTATTTATATCCACATACGTGTAATTTCTAAAAAATTTTATTAACATCCTTACCTGAACTTGATGATTTTTCAATAGGAAGTTTGTCCATATTCAGTCTTGTTAACAAAGGTAAGGTAAAAAAAAAAAATGAAAAAATGATCAAAAAGTGTGCAATATAGATTTATTTTAACGATGTTTAGTAAGTTTATCACGAGGATGTTTACATTAAACGTAAATATCATAATCATGCCCAAAACGGAAATAAAATAACCAATCAAAATCGCGGTTACGATTTGATGATCAACTTAGCGAAAATTACGACAAGGAAATAAACCTATAAATTAATAGGTTTCGAAATAAAATGTTGAAATCTTTTGAAATATAGTTTCGCCCTTCAATTGTTTTTTAATATAAGTGTTAAAGTCGCAATTACTTTTGAAAGTCGTAATCAAATATATAAATTTGTATTGTTGGTGGATTTACATAACATAATTTCTCCCGGGATTAAAAATTTTTTAAATTAAGCCAAATTTATAATGGCAGTTAGAATTAAACCAATTAAACCATGCCTAAATTTGATTTTAAAGACATTTTTGAAAAAAAAAAATAATTTAATTTATATAATTTTTAGAATAATTTTTTTGAGATAGAAATTTATAACTATTTATTTTTATATAAATTATTTGAATCTATATTTAATTTTTAATTTTTAAATATATATATATATATATTTTTAAGAGAAATTTTATTTTTTTTAAAAATACTATTTTCCAACTTGAATTAATTTAAAAACCTAAAATACTTTAATTATAAAGAAAAATTACAAAAAATCACATATATATACAGTACAGTCATGCCTCAATATAACGAAGTTTCTGATGTTAAGCCTAAACACTATGTCATTAGAATAATAAAGCTTATTTGCTAACAGGGAGTTTAAGTTGTAAACTATGAAAGAAATAAACACAAATTTATTTAAGTTGAAGGGT